TAGGACACAAAGCCTAAATTGCAAAAAAGTCTTCTGATAACACACCGTGATAAATGTTTGAGACTGAAAAATTTCGGTGTCAATGTGTCGTCAACAAATTCTAATTCCCAAGTTTCTGGTAGTGAAAGTTTATTCCATTTTTTACCTTATTTCTCTTCAATATATAATAAGGTGAATAAAGTGGGCTTACTGTAGATAATGCTCGTAAGCCCAAATTTCTATAGGAATTTCTACTTCTATACATATGGAGTGTGGATTGATAATATTGATATCATGCCACAAAATGCTAATATCTTGTCCATAAACACCAAACATCTCGGCAATTTCTAAAAGCTTGACAAAATCTGTCGGATGATATAGATTGAATTTAGGCAAATTACTATATTGAAAATCATAATTTAATGATAGGTGTGATAGCAACACCTGAATAATTAATATACAATGATTTTTATCTGCAGTCCAAAATTGCCATAAATAATCAACCGCAAACAATGCAAATATTTCTGGTCGCTTTTCAAAAAGTCTAGTGTTTTTTATATCACAATTAAAGTTAAACTTTTGGTAACTCAATGTTAAAATTGAGTTTACGTCCATACTATTTAACAATGGTTCTAGAGCAGCATTAGCAAAGTGTAGTGGAAGTCTGCCATCATGATCTGGTATATGTGGATTAGCTCCTTTTAATAAAAGCATTTGTACTATATTTTTATTATCATGCTGTGCAGCAATCATTAAAGCGGTTGTACCATATATACTCTGTCTGTTAATATCTTCTGCACAAATAAATTGTAATATCAATTTGATGCAAATTTTGCATTTGCTCATAACAGCAAGATGTAAAGGAGTATATTTACTATCATTTGTTAAAGATGCATCAGCACCAGCAAATAACAAAATTTCAAGACATTTATAATCTGCATTCATAGCAGCAATATGTAATGGAGTATCTCCTGCATAATCTTGAACATCTAGATCTGATCCAGCATTTACTAATAATTCAACATATATATGTTTTTGCTTGTTGCAAAGAATGTGCAAAGGTGTTTCTAACTCATTATTTGATATATCAATACAATCTGGATCTGCATTGAGTAGCAGCTGCACTATATCTAAATTAAATTAAAAGAGAATAGTTCAAGGATGATAATTTCATGATATAAAAGAATAATTGTGATATGTATTTGCTAAAACTCAAACTAATTGTGTAGTGTTAACAACCTCTTTTTAAGTGATTTGAAAATTACTTTTTAGCTTACTATTAATATTATATTGTATCTTATCTCATGTGCATTTTCAAATACCTAAACTTTCAATTGCAACGGAACAAGCTATAAAAAGAGCGGTTTCTCCTTCATGTGTTTTTAACTGTGTGAGATTATACTCTGAAAACTTTGGAGCAAGAAAAAAGTTCACACAATCAACATAGGCCTTTGCCACAGAATGATGCAGTGAGGTCCATCCATGATTATCTGCGATATCAGGCCGTTTTCCCTCTCTGTCCAAAAATTTTAATTTTTCAACATCACCTACAAATGTTGTGTATTATGCAGAAAAATTAAATACTACAAATAAAAAGTAAATTGTTTGTGTCCTTATAAAAATTACAAATTTGAATAACTGATAATTGAGTAAATTTTAAAATTTACATTTAAATAAGGTAATATATTGTCTTTATATTTTGCATGAATTACTTAAAGTCAGTTTACCTAAGAATGTTGCAGCTAGCATTCTATTATAATTAAGTAGAATCACAATTTTGCTTAACCAATATTCCTAGAATTTGATAATTTAAATCACAGTTGAAATATATTGTTTGTAAATAAAACATTAAGAAAAACACGACATGCAATATGGCAGGTTATGGCATTGACAGTTTATTGACAATAATATTGAAATTTAAAAATCAAATCCGAAATAAATATCGATTCATAAAAAACGAATAATTTTTTAGTATTTTTATTATTAGGATGATAAATAAGATATAACCAGATTTAGTAATATTATATTCTTGAGTCCAAATCCCAAAAGTAAATGCTGAACAGATAATTGATTTGACAGTTCGTCAAAAATACTCTGAAGTTATACTAGTTTTTTAATTTAATTAAGTAATAAATTCCATAATTGAATTAAATTCGTCATTTAATTTTATTAAAACAGATTAATTCTTTAAAACTGTGTGTACCACATTTTCCTGATATTATATTTAAAAATAAAATTAACACAACGATATATGCAATTCTGGAGTTGTTGGCTATTTATGCAGTATGACATATTGACAGTAGTTTTGACGTTTTTTCCCAAGGAATGATAAAGATCTTTTAACATAAGCATAAATATTGAATAAATATGAAATAACTTATTATTTGTTTAAATCTTATTATTTTTATTTGGCAATTTATTAATAAGTAATTTAATTTTAATTGAAAAAGTTATTTATGGGAGTGGTCTAGTTTGACATAAATTGTTTGAACTTTAAACTAAAAAAATATGATATCCTGTTTATAAATAGTGCGTAATATGTTTAAAACAATATTGTGTCTGATTTTGTGATACCATAATTCTGAATGATTATTTTGTAGTTTTTTTTTTTAATAATGCCTCCATTAAAGACTTGTAAAGTTTACCCAGAGAATTGTCCAGGCGCTCCGCCTCCCACGCCCGCGGCTGAGAGAAAGCCATATACGAGCACTCAACATGCCCAAAAACTTTTAATGAACCTAAATAATCTCAGAAATGATTCAAGGTTTTGTGACATTCAATTGAGAGCAGGAGGAACAATATTTAATGCACACAAAGCAGTTTTATCAGCTAGTAGTGCTTATTTTGAAGCTATGTTTCGTCCAGGAATGAGTGAAGAACAAAAGGATTTAGTCACATTGCATACATTAGATCCCGATATCTTGAATTTGTTAATCGATTTCATTTATACAGGCAGAGTAGAAATATCACAAAGCAATGTACAAGAATTGTTGTCAGCAGCCGATATGTTACAGTTGCAAGAGGTATTTGTTAAGTTTCTATTTGTTTAAAAAATCTAGCAGTCCAACTATATCCAAAATTACATTATTGCAGGTTGTTCAAGGTTGTACAGATTTTTTACAATTAGAAATACATCCAAGCAACGCTTTGGGTATTTTAAGATTTGCTGAAGCTCATCATTGCACAGATCTTGTTCGCTATGCTAATGACTATGTTAATACAAACTTTCCTCAAGTATGATAAATGAAGTATTTTTATATATATAACGATCAAATAGTTTAATTTAAAATAATTTATAAATTTATTACAGGTCTGTAAAGAAGATGAGCTTCTAGATTTACCCTTGAATTTACTGACTAGATTATTATCTTCGGAACTAATTCGTGTAGATAGTGAATATCAAGTGAGTTTCAAATTACTTAATAACTTTGTACCATCTTTGTACTAACAATAAGCAAATAATAATTTCAATAAAATAATATTTTTTTCAGGTGTTTGAAGCAGCAATTCGTTGGGTATCATATGATGTTCCCAGAAGAAGACGACATGTTTTTGAAGTTTTAAGACATGTTCGAATTGCTTTGATGCCTATACAGTTATTACAAAGAACTCTAGATGAATGCAGAGATGATTCCTTAAAAGTTGCACTAAGATCTATAGTGAAGGACTTGGTAAAATATCTTTATATTATAATTTTATTGTTTTGTAGTTGAAATTGTGTAACTTATCTAAAAACCTTATCATAGGTTTCTCAAAAAGGTCTGTTTGTAACATTGAATGCAGCTCCACGTAAATGTGCTAAAAAACATATTTATATAATTGGCGGATCAAAAAGGGAAACAACAAGTGGATGGCATAAAAATACAGATGCAATATTTGACTCTGTAGCCAAATTTGATACTTTTAGAGGGTAACTATAATTAAACATACATTAATTAACAATTAAATTGAGTTTTGATGAGTACCTAAATATGTGTTATAAATAATTATTTAACTTTCTAATATAATTTTCAGACAATGGTTAGAATCGCCATCCATGACTGTTGGCAGAATTTTACCGGGCGTAGCATCCTTAAGAAATTATATTTATGTTGTAGGTGGTGAGCTTGGCTCACAGATTTTAGCTAATGGGGAAGTTTATGATACTCAGGTAAAAATTTATTACATAATATCAAATTTAGAAATTTTACTTAACATATATATTATATATATAAAATTGAATATGCCTGTTTATTTCAGACAGAAACATGGTCACATATGGCTCCAATGGTCATTCCAAGATGCGAATTTGGTTTATGTGCTTTAAACAATTCTCTATGGGCAATCGGGGGATGGATTGGTGAAGATATAGGAGGATCTATTGAAAGGTAAGAAAATCATTTGAATATTTTATATGAGAATATTGAATAAGAAAAGCAAAATATTGAATTAACATATATAAAAAAATATATTTTTTGATCATGAACTTTTTTCAATATTTTCAGATATGATCCTTACACTGATGTTTGGCATTTATGTGGTGATATGCCAGAACCTAGATTTTCAATGGGAGTAGTTACATTTGAGGGCTTAATTTATATTGTTGGAGGTAGTACAAACTCAAGAAGACATTTACCTGATTTGATCAGGTACTTATCTATCTTCTATAAATATCTATTTCTTGTTTGTATACAAGCAAGTGTTCATTGTAATGAAAATTAAGTACTTATTGAGGATTTATTTCTTATTTATGATTACATTACAGTTTTAATCCAATTACTGGTGAATGGAATAAGCTTCCTTCAATGTCAAAAGCAAGGTCCCAAATGGGCGTAGCTGTTCTAGATAGATGTCTTTATGTTGTGGGGGGTAATGGAAGTCATTCAGAAGTACTTCGAACAGTGGAAAAATATGATTTTGATAAGGTAACATTTTAGTAATCATTTACATAATTAGTAATGAACAATATTTTAAAGATTTAGAAAATAAAAAATTCCTGGCAACAATTTCCAAGTTTTCATAGTTCTAAAATCATCTATTGTGCTTGCGTGATTATGTTTTATATTATTTACAGGGGACCTGGACGAACATAGCTCCTATGTGTGTTTGCCGTGCTAGTCCAGCAGTAGCATCAGCTAATGGTTTGTTATATGTTGCTGGTGGTGATCAAACAATTGAAGTTAATTTTTATCGAGCACAAATCACTATTACATGCATGGAAGCTTATAACCCTCTCACAAATCAATGGACTGCATGTCCAGATTTACCAGAAAGTAGATCTGAAGCTGGTGCTGTAGTATTGTGAGATTAACTGTAAGTATGTAGAGGCGAGTGAAGATATTATTTTTCAGCTGCAGCTTTAAATATTTTTGAATATTAAAGTGAAGTTTTGTTGTATTTACATTTACTGCTTAAGAGAAAAGATCGATAAATATACTGTACTTGACCCTTACTGTTTTTATGAGATTAGATCTGTTCTTTTTAATATTTTGAATATATATATATATATATATATATATATATAATTCAATTTTATATTTAACAAAAAAACTTGAAATTAAAATTAAATTTAAATATTATTTTTATAATTTAAAAAGCATGTATTAATTTGTAATATAAGGATATAATTTTCCAAAAAAATATTCTAGGAAAGCAGAATTTAAGTAGAATTTTATAAATTTCATTTATTGACATCACAATTAATATATAATTGATGTAGTATTAGAAATCAGCTTTAATTCTTGTCCAAATTTATATGTGATAAATAATTATGACACACCCAGTTATTAATTTAATAGTAATTCAGGTGAATGCAATAAGTTAGAATTAAGTGGGATAGGTATATTCCATCAATCAACATTTTTTTTTAATATTGTTGTCAATCCACAAATTTGAAAAGATTCAAATACTTTTATTATCTTCTATAAATATAAATTTATCTTCATTCTTTGAAATAAAATTTTAATAATTATAGATACAATTACATATGACATGTGCTTAAACATTAAAAAATTGAAACCTTTTGTTGTGAAGCTAGTGAAAATTAAATGCATTTCTTAATCTTAATGCCAAAGAATGACTATTACAAATGTAAGACATTTATACTAATATTAAACATGTTTATATGCAATATATAATATATTACTTTATTACTTAAGTTAATAATAATTTTTAATGTTAAATTTGGTCTGCAATGGGAATCTTTCATGATCTATTAACAAATAGATTAATATCATTTTTAAGATTAATATTTTATTTTAATTTCATGCAAGTTTCCCATTTCATTCACTTTTAGATTATTTTCAAATTAAATGAAATTTTCCAATATTATAATTATAGTATAGTTTTAAAAAAAGTTATATTTTATATTTTAATAAAAGTTATATTTTATTCATCACATGCTTGGATGTGTAAATTTTATGTAAATATTGAAATTAATAGATAATGAAAATTGTATAAATCAGTTATTGTAAATTAAACGAAAATGCTAATATGAATTTTGATGTGAATGGAATGATTTGAGTGAAATGAGTTTTAAAATTTTTATTTGTTTTAATATTAATGCATATTATGTTCATGCTTTACTCAATATATATGATATAAGTTTTAATTATTGTAAGATGTGATTACTTATAAAGAATCTAATGCATATGTTATATGAAAACGTTTATGTAATAAATAAAAAATGCTGAATCTAATTGAGTTGTATTGAATTTAGATTAGAATAATTTAGGAAAAACACTATTATTTTGAAAACCAATACCAATATTGAATTGGTTAAAAATCAGTTATACAATTAATGAAAAAACAACAGTTAGCCATACTTTATTAAAAAAAGTAAAAGTAAATACAT